CTTCTATCAGTCAAGGTCACCTTCATTTTTAAATAACAGATCAAGTTGATTTTGAAAACTTCACAGGGAAGCATGTGGCTGAGATCTTGAAGCCTGGCTGTTTACGAAGGAGAGACATGAAGGCACCATCTCCCAAGCACAGCACCCCCAGATCATGACTGCTGTGGCTCAGCAGAGCACGTTTTAATCTATAAACAGACTACGTGGCTGTCGTGGAAGTGCGTGGTCAGAAACACTCCTGCATAGAGGGCGGGAAGGCTCCTTCCACGGAGACCCCATGGCAGTCTGTCTTCTGTTGCAGTTCTGCAGCTGGGACACTTGGCAGATGGGAGGAGCTCCCCTCCCCGGATAGAGAACCCATCCCGTCAGCTCAGCTAAGAGAGCTGCCTGGCACCAGAATGGCCAGAAACCGCACGGGCCGAAGGGATGGTCTGGAACCTTTAACCCCCACTGAAGTAGTTGTGGGGCTAAATCCCCTGCTGGAGTAGGTGAAGGTTGGGAATAAAGGAAATGCCCACTTTCTAGCATCTTCTCTTCCCTTTGTGGAATAGTTCACAGTCTGGTCCAGAGGCCAAGCACAGATGCAGGCATGGGGCCTCTCCTTGCTGGGGCCCTTGAACTTGGGACATCACGGTTTTGTGAATCCTGTCATGAGGAGGGTACAGAGAAGGGCTTGGAGTGGGGAGCCTAGGTCAGTGTGAGAAGGGATCTTCTACATTTCCTGTGTCCTCCTATGCTGAGGGGGCAGCAGAGGCAGCCGAGGATGACCTCAGGTGGAGTGACCTGGCTGTGGTGGTGCCACCTCTGCCAGGATGGCAAGTTCAAGGGCCATGGCTGCCTGTGGGGTGGGTTCTGGTCCCCTCCCTGCAGAGCCTTCCAGTATCTGCTGCACACCCAGCCTGGTTGGGAGGCAGATGCTGGGATGCCACTAGAAGAGCCCTTATCACTTGGGTACTTCTATACCCGGAGCTGAGCCTCTCGGTTCTGATCTGCGAGCTCTGTCTGGGGACAGTGGCTCACTCACTATGTTGCTACAAAATTTCAGCCCCAGTAGATATCCTGATCTGTTCTTCCCACACGGAGCTGGATTCTGTTCCCCAGACCTTTCACAGTGCGCTCCACTCTGACGGGGCTGCAGAGCTGAGGAATGTTGCTGCTTCTCTGTCTCTGATGGCCCATGAGGGACTGTGCTGTGGGGCTGAGATCCAGGTATCCTGGTGAGCTGGAACCCGGGAGTTCCTGGCTTGGGAGGACTTGGGTCTTGTGGGGATCAGGGACTATGTCATCGAGGTCTGAGGGACTGTCCCACCTGACTCCCTCCAGTGGAGGCTCCCAGGGGCTCCCAGTCTTCTTGACCGACCCCTCCCCTGAACTTCCTCTGGCATCCCTCCAGAGCCCCACAGAGAAGAGCACATGTGTGAGCACATCCTAGCTGTGTGTTCTATAGCTGTGGTGAAGTGGGTCTAAGTAGTCCATTCCCGTGGGGGCCACCCCAAGTAAGGAATGTTCGAATAGGGTTGGAGTACATCAACGTTCAAAGTGCTCTGTTAGCTGGCCTTGCACCTCAAAAATGCTGACGCGTTCTGGCTCTAAAGTAGCCCGAAGACTCAGCATGCTGGCTGACTGCTTGCACATGGCTGCTTTTAACAGAACAGCTCTGGCCTGCTGGGGTATGAGCATGGCAAACCTGTGCAGCACCCCTTTCTCTGGGTGCAGGCTGGGTATCACTGTCGGACTTGGGAAGCTGTGTGGGGATGGAGTGTTGATTCTGTAACCCACCCCGGGAAGAGCAAGTGCAGGAACTGTGACAGGTTCCGTACCGGCCAGACCGTCCTACCAGGGAACTAGCATCAAACGGAAGGCCAGCAGCGCCCAGTGAGGAACATTTTGCTCGCTCTGTTTTATAAATCTCTACGTTATGCTTTTATCAAGATGAAACTTTTTTAATGGTGCTGATTTCTTCTGACTTCAAATATGTATGTGACAACAGTCGGATTCCACTGCACATGGAATAGAAAAGTCCGGATTGAAAATGCAGACAATCTGGAAACGGGCAAGGTTGTGGACAGCAGGGGCTCCCATTCACCGTGTGGGAGATACAACAGGAACAGCCACTGGGGAAGATGACCTGGAAATTCCTTAAAAAGCGAAGTACAAGCTGGGGAGAGGCTTGGTGAGGGATGAGCTCACCTCACAAGCATCAGGACCTGACTTTGGATAAGGACTCAGGTAAAGCTAGACCTGATAGCATGTGCCTGTAATCCCAACATTCCTAAGGTGGGACGGGCAGTGCATGTTACCTCACAAGCATCAGGACCTGACTTTGGATCCCAAGGACTCAGGTAAAGCTAGACCTGGTAGCATGTGCCTGTAATCCCAACATTCCTAAGGTGGGACGGGCAGTGCATGTCGGAGATGCTCTGGAGGCTCATGGGTCAGCTGGCCTGGCTTACCCAATGGCAGGTAAGAGACTCTGTCTCCAACGAGGTGGGAGTCACTGATGGATACCTGTTTGTCTTTTGACTTCTGTATGTGTGCCACAGCACATGTCGGCCTTCACTCACACACATGAACATATACACATCATACACACACAAAATTAAAAATAAAAACTGTTAATCACCCTTATACTGTATGATCCATGAATTACACCGTGGTGTTTACTCAAAGGAGTTGAAAACACGCCCACATTCAAATCCGAGTGCAGATGCTTGTAGTAGCTGTGCTCATAACTGTCAAGACTTGGAAGCACCAGGATGTCCTTCAGCAGGTGAATGGAGAAATGGTTCTAATTGTATAAGGTTCCCCGAAAGGCCAAGCTGTGGTGCTTCGGGATGAGTGGCTGTGGGGTGTGTGCTGAGGGGGGTGGTGGAGCACCCTGGACTTACCTGCTGTGATGTGGGGTGTGTGCTGAGGGGGTGGTGGAGCACCCTGGACTTACCTGCTGTGATGTGGGGTGTGTGCTGAGGGGGTGGTGGAGCACCCTGGACTTACCTGCTGTGATGTGGGGTGTGTGCTGAGGGGGTGGTGGAGCACCCTGGACTTACCTGCTGTGAAACTCTTATGTGGGATGCTGTGTATGCATTCTTCAGAACCTGCAGGATGTACCATTCCGGGAAAGAAAGCTGGCCTTTAGTTAGCAGTGTGGGGTATGAGCATGTGCTCGTGACTGGCATTGGGACAGAGCACTCTGGGGAAGGCGGTGATGACAGGGAACTGCTGTAGGCTGTAGGAAGCTCTGTGCTCCTGCTTAGTTACTCTGTAAATGTAATTTGAAAAGACAGTGTGTGTCCCTCCTAGGGATTTAGTAACTAGGGAGAGACAAGCAGGAGAGAAATTCAGCTGTGATTCTGCCACCTCGACATACCCACAGTCAAGACTTTATTTTTTTTCCAAGATTTAAAATTTTAATTGTGAATTTCATACAATTGTTTTGATCATATTTAGATCCCCACCTCATCCGCACACTCTTTACTACCCCCAATTTCATGTGCTCTAATATATATGTATACATATATGTGCGTATAATATATATGTAATATATGACAGTCTTTAAACATATCTGATCTTGTGGCATTCAATACTCTTCTGTGTGCCTTCAGACTCTCCCATATAGACATCTCCCTTGAGGCCCAGAGTCAACAGTGTCATCCACACACCTGTGTTCACCTGCCTAGTCTGGTGTCCCTGACCAGCCCCATCTCATCTCCCTGCATCTTGCCCTATCTCCTTTACTCCCTAATCTCAAAGTTCCTATATCACACAGGGCAGGCATCTGTCCCAAGATTCTGGAACTTCTGGAAGCTTCTTCCCAGATGCCAGCATGCCTCGTTCCCCTTCTCTTGTGTGCCCACATGTCCCCCTCCCACTAAAGGCTGATCAACTCATTGGAAATGGAGACCCAGTTCTTAGCCCCTGTCATGGTTTGATTCTTCATTGCTGTGACAAAACACTCTGACCAGTACCAACCTGGGGAGGAAAGGGTTTATTCAGCTTACATCTCCCAGGTCACAGTTCATCAGGGAGCCCAAGGTAGGAACTCAGGGCAGGAACCTGGAGGCAGGAGCTGGAGCACAGGCCATGGAGGAACACTGCTTACTGACTTGCTCCCCTGGCCCCTGCTCAGCCTGCTTTCTTATGCAACACAGGCCCACCTGCCCAGGGGTGGCACCACCCACAGTGGGCTGGGCCCTCCCACATCACTCATCAAGAAGATGCCCTTCAGACATGGCCACAGGCCAGTCCAATGGAGGCAATTCCCCAACTGAGGCTCCCTCAACCCAGGTGTGTCAAGTTGACACCAAAGCTGTCCAGCACAGCCCCCTTGTCTCATGCCCATCAACCTATACTTAAAACAAGTAGAAAGTGTGTGAACTGCCCCTCCTCCTGGGAGGTCACTCCTGAAGACAGGCCGTCCGTCTAGTTGTTTCTCAGCACCTTTTCAGCCCAGAAAGACGAGCTGAGTCCAAAGTAGATGCTTAAAGATGTTTCCAGCCTGCATTATTTGCTTACTCTCTGTGACCTCAGAATCCTTCCTTGATTGCCTACTTGGAGTCATCTGGGAGAGCCTGAGTAGGTGCTGGTTTCTGCACTGGGTCAGGGTGGATGTTCAGCATCCTGCATATGCTGAGCCCTGGGGCCTGTGGAAAGCCCTCCTGTCCTGGCCTGCAGCCTCCCACCTTCCCTTTCTCAGTGCCCGCCCTCGGTCCTGCCAGGATTCCACTCTAGAACTGCTCACCCCTCATGATCAAGTCTGACGACCCGTGTCCCACACGTGCACCGCAGTGAAGTTCTTCCCTTGAAGGTGTGCGTGTTCTGCTGGTGACAGCAGCCCTGGGACACTGTGCATCGCACGCCGGTGCCGGGTGACAAGTTCCATTCTGGGGAGAATGCCGCCCAGCGTAGGTTGTCATTGAAGGCCAGTGCCCCTCCCTGTGTTCGTGGGGTGCTGTTAACTAAAACGTGCGTCACCTGTGCTCACCTTGCTCTCTCTTCCTCAGGTTGCCATAACAGCCTCAAGCCGATCAGCAGCGGTCCCACCATCACAATCACTGCTGCTGCCGCCGCAGCCACAGCCGCCGCTATGGTCTCAGTGGACCCCGAGGGACTCCGGGGCCCGTCCCCCTCCAGCATGCAGCCGTGCCATTTCCTGACGTTGGCTCCCATCAAAATCCCCCTCCGGACTGCGTCCTTCTCGGGTAGGCACAGAGCACTGGGAATCAAGCTGGGAGTAAGGCCCCTGGAGGCTAGGTGTCAGGGCCACTGTCCCTCCTCTGGATACATGTGCCGTGGGATGCTGGAGCTGGGCTCTAGGAGTGGCATTCAGTTGGGGTTCTGGAGGGTTTTCTCCATGTTAGACTGTATAGATACACCTTGACTCCATGGAGCCCGGCCGTGTCCACGTGGCATTTCTGTTTGTGTGGGTAAAGATGGGATCCCTTTGACTGCTCTGTAGGTGCTGCGGGAACCTGTCAGGGCAGGACCCCGAGACCTTGGTTGGCCTTTTCTGTTGCACGTATTAGAAAGAAAGAGCTGCCTACTAGGAAGCCCCAGGTGTCAGAGTGAGTTTTGGACTCTGTGCAGTTTTTCCTGCATCCTGCCTGGATTGAAACGGTCACTCTGGGCATACGGGGCAGTCCTGGTCACCAGGCATGAGGGGATGAGAGGAGCTGTGATGGACCCAGAGCCGTTGGTGCTCGTGGTGTAGCTGGCTTTCTGAAGAGTCAGGAAGGATGTGCTCGAGGCATCTCAGCACTCCGAGGAGCAGAGACTTGGAGATGTGGGCTCGGGTGGCACCCAGATGGGCGTCCAAAACTGCTGTGTCCACATGGTGTGTTTACTGCTCTCTGTGCTGTCTGTTGACTGGAATCGTGTGTTTCCTGTCCCCAGTGTCCCTGTGCAATGCTGGCTTCAGCAAACATGATAACAAAAGGGACTTGAAGGACAGAGAGTAAATCTCCCATTCCCATGATCCAGTTGTTCAGTGAGTCACGTTCGTGTGACTTGGTGGAATTTGCATAGAAATTCCAACCCTGGTCGGTGCACGCTGAGCATCTTGCATCCAGAAATCCCAAATTCGAAACTCACAGCACCAATGGGCTGCCACAAGTGGAAAAATTCTTTGTAAAGCCTTGTTTTCTGCAAAAGTTATTTAAAGTGGTGTATAGAGTAACCTCCGACCGTGGGCCTAACATAGAAAATGGATAAGTCATGTTTAGACTTGATGTCTTATGTATATGCAAATGTTCCAAGATCTGGAAATATCCCAAACCAGCACAGTTCTTATCCCAAGCACCTGGAGAAGAGGCTCAGGCTGTGCCATGAATTTCTGTGATTCCCAGCAACAGGAAACACGTCACTAGATGAGACATGTACTCAAACACACATGCATACACACATGCACACCCACATGCCACATCCAGTCATGCACAGGCACATGCATACTTTGCACATGTACACATGTACATGTGCTCTATGGGACAGAGACATAGAGCTCATCTCTGGTTCTTCAGCGTGCCCTTGCTTGCTGGCTTTCCCTCTGGTGAGTCTAATGTGGGTTCCTTTTAGCCTGGACCTTTGGCCTTTGCATTCTCTATCAGCCTGATGAATTCATTGATCAGCAGGGCACTGTATCATCTAGAACAAAATCTGAATTCTATTTCCATGTTCTAGTGAATGTGCATTTAGCCATAATGGAAATAAACCCCTGGTAGTCTCTGTTTGGAGTCCATGTTCCCACTGGGTCAAGCCATGGGCTGAAACCCCTCGATCCACTGACATTAATGAAAATTCATCTTAGAACCAGACACTGTATCATAGTGTGGCTTTCCTCTCCTGGTCTATGAATTCTGAAACCCAGGGGTGCCCAAGCCAGAGCTTCTTTGGGGAGTGCAGCCAGCTGGCTGCGTTGACCTGGGCCTCTCCCCTAGCTGGGTGCATAGGACCATCTAGGGATGCTGGCTATGGCCATGGTGAAAAGCCATTATCAAGTGTCTCTTGAGTGGAAGGAGCTGGAAGCATGTACGGCTTGCCCACCATACTTCAGGGCTGTTTCTAGGCTACTCTCAGGAGCCTGTGGAAGAGGAACATGCTGTCCAGAGGAGCAGTTTGCCAGCAAATTCCTGAAAATGGGTGAACTGGGCTGGAGTCAGGAGGAAGACAGAGTTCTTGAGGCGCTCTCTGTGGAGTGGAGTGGAGTGGAGTGGAGTGGCAGGGTTGGATGGTTGGAGAACACAGCCCTGTGTGGTATGGAGTGGGCAGGGTTGGATGGATGGAGAACACAGCCCTGTGTGGTGTGGAGTGGGCAGGCTTGGATGGATGGAGAACACAGCCCTGTGTGGTGTGCTCCCTGCAGGCCCATCTAAAGTCTGTAGCCTTTGGTTTATCTGCAGATGAGCAAAATGTTTGTAATGGAAGGATAGTGATTTCCATTTCAGATGAGGCCGACTGTTGCTTTAGTGCCCTTGATGTGGTAAGAAGCCAGATGCCTCAGAGGCGTCATACAGTTTGGGTTAATGAGTCTCAACTGGGGACAATTTTTCTCCTGGGGATTTCATACAATCCCCTGGAGGAAGTGTTTGGTTGTTAAGGTATGTGCAGTTGGCACTAGTATCCCGAGGACAGAGACTGGGTCCTGCAATCACTTAAACTGTGAGAGTCTACACAGGGCAGCTCAGATGAGATCAGCTAGATAGGGCAGCCGTGTATGTGTATGGCCGTGTGTGTGTGTGTGTGTGTGTGTGTGTGTGTGTGTGTGTGTTCAGCTAGCTGAAGGACCTGAGGGAACATCTCTGTGGGGAGAAGACTGAACAAGAAGAATTGTATTAAGTCTGTGTCCCTGGTGTGTGTAGAGTTCTAGGTGAACATTGAAAGAGCCAGGGCAGCTCCAAGCTTAGTTCTAACAGGGAGCCAGGGCAGCTCCAAGCTTAGTTCTAACAGGGATTTCTGGTCGTCTGCACAGCCACAGCTTGTGGCTGCTCTGGACACACTGGCCACCTCTGGGCCTGGTCCCCCCTCTCCCCCAACACGTGTCTCTTACTGGCAGGTTGTGCCTTTCTCTCCTGTCCCTGCATGAAGCATAGCTTAGGGAGCTGGGCTGCACGTCAGTGATCCAGCATGGTGATCCTTGTTGGGCTGAGCAGAGCTGTTCTGTTCCTTCTCAGAATCCAAAGCTGCTGCTTACCCCCAAGTCCCATGTGAGGCAAACGGCAGTTTGGGTAGGGGCAGGCTCACTTGGAGACATACTACCTGATCTGCAGTATGGCCTGGAGCTGGAGGGGCTGCTGGGAAGGGAGAACAGAGCAGGAACCCTCCTGTTGCCAGCAGGTCGTAGATCTCTGCTCACTTCTCACTGTCTCTTAGGGTTTCAGATTATAGAAGGAATCCATTCAGGGGAAGAGGTGTTGAGCATCACACCTGTGCCTCAGTGCGAGGAGGATAAGGCTTCGTATCAACAGCAGGGCTGAAGGGAAGTTGAGGATAAGGACCATAGCAGACATACCTCCCCGGGGTCTCCAGATAGAGTGACCTGACCTGCGGTCCCTGGGCCACCACTATACACAAACCTTTGCTAGGAAAGGTGAGCTGGGTGCCCAGTAGCAACATTCAGGGATAGGTGCCCTCCCCCTCAGATGGAGTAAATGAAGTGGTTTTTCTCCTAAGAATGATGGAGTTTATTTGTAAAGTGGGGCCCACCCTTTCCGAGGCTCTCAAGTGGGGAAGGTGGAACGCAAGCGTGGAAACACCATCTCTAGTAGGGCCAATTATGATCAGATACAGATATTAAAGCGCACCATCTGCCTCGGAGACCATTTGCCACCTGTTCTTTCGCTTCCAGAACTATTTAATGGTTTAAATTTAGCGTGTTGTCCTGCTACAGAGCAGCTGTGGACTGACAATTTTTTGTCTCCTCATGTCTTGCCAGCCAAGCCACATACTAAGTCTGAGAAGTCCCGAGGCACAGGTGCCATCCATGTCCTTTTAAGTGCTGGCCGTTCCCTCATTAGGGAAGTCCACAACTGCTGGGCCCTCGCTAAGGACAGCAAAACTATCCGCCCGAGGGTAAAACTGGCTCTTTTATTTTTTTAAGTCCAAGAATTATTTCTCCGTCCACCATAATAAGAAATGTCACAATACTCCTTAGCATTTTAGGCATTTCCAAAGACAAATATTGGGCAACACTGTGGCAATATAATTGCCGATAACCCCCAAATTCCTGGGAGGTGGACTCTGGCTTCGGAGAAGGATGGCATTTCTAAGGGAGGTCACCTAGCCTGGAGATCATGACTGGATGTGAACAAGCAGAAGGCTCTGTATACTTTATTATCTCTGATGAGGGAGTTCTATAAGAATGAGGTGGACGAGGGGCAGAAGCGACTCTGTGTGTTGGGATCTCAAAGCCAGGACTGCTTACACATGGGGTCCTTCCTACCACAGTGACTACCTTGGACCCCGTCCCCTGGGGCTCCTATCCCCACCACCTTTCCCAGGAATGGCTGCACTTTGAGGTCTACATTAGCCACCGCTCCATGAGCTCCAGCCCACCCTGTCGCTGAAAGGCAAAACTGGAAACATCATCACCCCAAAACACACGTGTTTATGACAGGAAGCACTAGCGTAGGAGATGCCCTGATGCCTCCCTCCCACAGAGAGGGGAAAGCTGACCATTCCATCTCCATCCGCTGTGGGCCACCCAGCCTCTCCCACCTCAGAGGCAACTGTACTCCAGTTCCTCCCTGCAGCTTTCGAAGTGCCTTTGCCACATGCCACAGTCTCCTAAACTGGCTCCGCTGAATTTTACTTAAACAAGCCGTAGTTACACATTCTTCTGTGCTGGTCTTTGTAAAAATTCTTACTTTTATTTTTTTATGTATATGAACGTCTTGTCTGCGTGTAGGTAGGTGTACTGGATGCCCTGGAGCTGGAGTTATGGACAGTTGTTAGCCACCATGTGGGTGCCACGTGGGTAATCAAACTTGGGTCCTCTGGAAGGGCAGCCAGCGCTCTAACCACTGACCCATCTCTCCAGCCCTATGCTGGCCTTTTGCATGTGATCCTTCCTGTGTTGTCTCACAGGCTCTTGCTTGCAGAGCACTCTGCTCACTGGTGTATGAAGCACAGGATGCAGAGCTGTTCTGTGGGACATGCCGGCAGCTTCCTGAAATGCCATAGGCATTCCTGAAATGCCTCTGCCCCTGCT